AAAATTTAGTTCTCATTCAAAAGTCAGTCATGCCGAATTCTGAAGATTTTCATTCACATTCAGTCATTTTCTTTCAAATTCATTTCATTTCACTTCATCGGACTTCATTTCTTACTTCCCCCATGTATTAAGCATAGGGTGAAAAATGAAATGAGTGAAAAATCCCTTCATTCACAGTCATTCATCTGAAATAACGGAATCCTTCAGTCATTTTCATAAAAATGATAGGAAATTCATTTTCATTCACTATCATATCATTCACTATCATATTTAGTCAAATGAATGAAAGTGAACAGGTATGATTGGGAGATTATGTCTCTTGCAAATTTCATAAAAATCAAATTTGCGATCAATTGACACTGATTTACTCAAAATCGGAGAGCATACGCCTGCAGACCTCAGTTTTTTATGGATTAAATTAAGGTCACTATATTTTTCTTATACCGTTTGGTCGGACTTTCCTCCCCAATTTGCACATTGAGCAGCGTATGACACCAAAAGTTGCAGAATTGTGGGGGATGCTCGACCCCACGGACGGGCAGAGCTACCACGAAATTGGTCGTCATCCCATCACTACACAATCTCGATAAGAAGCGTCTTAACGCCCCGGCGAGAAGGGTGACGCCAAGTAAAAGCAGTGGTGGTCGTCCTTGTCCTTGTGCCCCCAGTAGAAATCTCACCTCTTTAAATGTACGCATGGGATACGTCGCTCTGTAGAGGGCGACGTCATCGCTACTTTTCGCCCGGGTAAAAATGTCCTTGTGGAGGAGGAAATCGCAAAATAGTTTCGATAAGGTGTCCGGTAAGCGGAGGAGATCAGAAAGTTGTGATCCTCCAAGGTTAGCGTCGTTCTTATCGGTAACACGGCACACTTCCGGTGGTGGTATCGCGTTGTCCACAATTTTCTCGAGCAGACACAGCTTGGAGAATCCATCGCCAATAGCGTGGTTAGTTTGTAGCCCGAAAATTGACCTCGTTTCACCTACCAGGATAAATTCAAGACCATCATCATTATATGATTAGGCCATCATTAGAGGGCGGATATGTATTTATTTTCAACTTTTTCATTTGATGATGACCGACTGTCATATTTTGTGGGTGTGTTCCCTAACTTCGCATAGAGCACAAGAATCTCAATATATCTTTACATATTTCTAGATTTTCAGATATAATTATTTTCGCTATTATTTCAAAAATATGGAAATTTTTTTACATTTTTTTTTTCAAAAACATATATTTTGTAAATATTTCAACTATGTTAAAGACGAAATTTTTATGTATGTATGCTCAAAGAAATTAAATTTTGCGAAAATTACAGGTTTTTTTCGTACACATTTCGTAAACATTTTCGCGTTTTTCAAAATTTCATAGATTTTTCGTAAATACATACCCACCCTCTGGACACTTACAATAGATAGATAATTAATTCCTACCCGAAATCGTGACCCCTGGCACGACCATAGCTTCCCAGAATGGAATCCCCTCCGTAAACGGAAGTCTCATCCACTTCACGAGAAACGCGTTGAGGTCATCCTCGTTAAAATTATGACCTTCTTGAGCTCCCAAAACTCTCAAGTGGTCCCGCATCTCAAACTCTTTTCTGGCCCGACGCCAAAACGGGATCCCCATAAATTTCGAGGGGTACACGGATTTTAGTCGGGCGTACATTTCCCCCGAATTATTTTCTGCAAAGAAGGATGAATGATCAAAATAAGTACTTTGTCAAAATACAATATTTTGAACCCCGTTCATCCCAGGGTTTGGATTTCCGGGGGGCTTTCACACCACAAAAAGGCAAAAATTTGCATGAAGAAGGCAGAAGTCATGCAAAAATACATGTTTTTCTGAAGAAAATAACTTTACCGATCTGTTAAAACACTGTAAAAATCATGAAACCGATGGATTTTGACAGCGATAAAAAGCTAATTTATTCACAAAACCTCTACTTTCGTATAGCTCCACGTAGATTGTCGTCTTTTTGTGGGTGTAAAAACCCCGGAAATCCAAACCTTGGGAAGAACGGAGCTCAAAATACTGAATTTTCACAAATTAATTTTACCAAGAATGGACGAAAATCTGTCCAGAATTTCGTCTGGGTTTAATTTCCCTTCGCAAATCCAAATGAACGCGGTTCCCGAGCGTGGTCTCGTGTGGAAGGGATCCGTGCAAAATGCGTGGTCCAGCCCGGTCATGGGCGTTACGAAGGGCGAATTTGGGATGATAACACGGTTAAGGAAAATGATAAGGTAGCGATAACCCAGGAGGAGAAGGATAACGGGGAGGACGATCGAGATGAAAAATATGAGGAGGATCCATTGCAAAATATTTTTTAGGAGACGAAAGATCTCCATTTTCGCAATATGTGATGCCACGCTTAATGAAATGAAAATATCTTAAGTTTGGTTGAACACAAAATAAAATTACAGGAAAAACCCCACCTTTCAGGCTTACCTAGCCCGAGTCAGGTGGTTATTAATAATTGAGGTTGGTATAATCAATGGTCACGGAAGCCGTGGGGACATCTGGGGACATAAACATTGTAAGATATGGAAAGCAAGGGGTTTATATAACATAAGGAGATGATACGGACATCGAATAACCGTGGGGACATTGCCTCTCTGTCCTGACCCACGCTTCCGCGGCCACTTGTATAATACCACCGCTACAACTTTTTTCCGCACATTTTCCTCATCTTCGAATTTGATTCTTAATTTTGAGTATTCTACACTTGCCAAAACTTTCAAGTAAGTCAGTTGTACAAGTTTTTACAAGTATAACCAATAGACAGACAGACAACCATGACGAGTACACAAGCCCAGACTCGGGCTAGAAATCCGTGTAAAGTAAAAATTTTCACATGTCAGTCATCATATCACTCAAATTCTGTCTTCTTCTACGCCACAAAAACACGACCCGGTCGACACGCATGCACATAAATATTTTACACATTTTTAATTTCGGAAAGATTGCCTAGTTCTACCATAAATAATTTATTTAAAAGCGACGTTTTAATTTATTTGAATAATTTGATCGCACACTAAGCCAATTAAATGTTACATTTTTACACGATTAAAATTTTGCACCTTTTCCAAAAAAAAATATTAAACCATTTCTTCTTACATTCCCGAATTAGAAATTTTCTCTGATAATCTCATCACTTTCACTTATCGTTAGATAAGTTGGGATTGACGCCTTGATTCAGAAGTCTGCCCCACCACCACCACCGCTGCTGCTGGTGCCAAAGTAGTAGCGTCCCACGACGAGAAAGGTGACGACGACGCTGAGAAAGGCGCCCGAATATGGGACGAGTCTCGTCGAATCATTCTTGTCGCCTTTCATGGTGTCATTCTTGCCGTCAATTTTGTCGCCATCCCCGATCTGAGGCCCGGTTTCTTCTCCCAACAAGAATCGGGCGTTACAATGGTCCTTGTCACACTTGCAGATCCGGTCATCCCCTTTATCACATCGATTCATGGCTTGCTCGTCGTGGAGGGGCGGTTTGTTTTGGTCGTAACAAAACGTCCCAAATCGCTCCCAGTATATGCAATATGGTCCTAAGTACGAAAAACGAGGTCAGCATGATGAGTAGAAGAAAAGAGTTCAAAATGAAATATTTAAAATGGGGACGCAAACCATGTTCAAGCCAGAAAATTTTTACACTTTAGATAAACAACATTTAGCGCGGAACTTGCACAGATTCGAAAAATTCAACAACAATTTGGCGAAAACGCTCGATTTTCCGAAAGACCAACATCTCATACATAATATTTATCACGGAACTTGCTCAGATGCGGAACATTCTGGCGCCGCGAGTTTGCGAAATCGCTCGGTCGGAATCTGCGCCTTGCGACATCTCTTTTCTTGAAATCCGAGCGTTTCCGCGAATTTGCAGTGCCCAAAATTCTACGAATTTTTCCGGAAAGTTCCGGACTAAATATTGTTTCTAAAAAGTTAGTCTGCTAAGTTAAGCTGGTCAAAAATAATCTGGGCTGAACATGGTTTGCGACCCGATTCTTAGCATTAAAAAAATACGTTTGTATGTGGATGGACATTCGGCCTGGTTCCTGGCTTCGTTTTTAGTCTCCGCGTTAAACCCCTTGCAGGCCACGGCGGCCTGAAGTTTCCTAGCGTACTCCGCTTCTTCAGGGGTAACCTGCCTCCCACTCGCGTCGTTATTAGATATGCACATGTAGCATATGAGTCCTGTGGGAGGAAAGGATTGTAAGATGCAAATTATATATCAGGTTTTTGTTCATTGCGGGATTCTACATTTATTGTAGTGCAAAAAACGGAGGTGCAAGTCACTCAAGAAATGCGAGGTGCAAGAAACTGTGAGAAAGTGCAAGAAATAAGCGCCATCTACTGTGGATGAAGTTCTAACCCTGCAGACTTATTACACCGCTTTGTAGCATTAATTTCACGACGTCACCGGTCAAAAAAATTTTTTCCTCCAAACTGGTCCAAAATAAAAGTCTAGCATGGGAATAGTATAGAAAAATTATTTTTAGCGTTCTATGACCCCTGGGTCATGAATTAAGGGCCCCTGAAGGGTCAAATAGCGTTCCCTGATAACCCCATGCAAATGGGGTATCAAATTAATCCCCTGGACCAGGGGAACCAGAAAAATATTTTTATAAATTTTTATGACCCTTGAGTCGTGAACTAGGAGCCCTTGAAGGGTTAAATATCATTCCCTCACAACTAAAGGCAAGTGGGGTATCAAATTAATCCCCTGGACAAGGGGAACCCAAAAAATATTTTTCTGGATTTTTTTGACCCTCAGGTCAAGAGTTAAGGGCCCCCGAAGGGTCAAAATAGTAACCATGGTAACCCCATGCAAGTGGGGTATCAAATTAATCCCCTGGCAAAGGGCAAGCATAAAAATATTTTCCTGAATTTTTTTGACCTATCGGGCAACAGTTAAGGGTCCCTGAAGGGTCAACATAGTAACCATGGTAACTAAGGTGAATGGGGTATCAAATTAATCCCCTGGACCAGGGGAATCAGAAAAATATTTTTTGGTTTTTGTGACGTATAGGTCAAGAGTTAAGGGCCCCTGAAGGGTCAAATAATAACTTATTGTATTTTACTAAACGGGACATTATTTTAAAGTTTTCAGTTTTGCAAGAATGTTAAGTAGAGAGGGGTAGGCATATTTTTGAAAATTTCGTACAAATTTAATGAATAATAATTCTTAACACTATGTACAAATCGGATTCACTATTTATAATATTTATTATGTATTGAATCCATTGAAGTTAAAATCTAGGTTGATTCTGGTGGGAAGGTTAATCTCCTCCTAGAAGTTGCACATTCTTCTTCAGGCAAGTCTTCTTCTTCCCCAGCCTGTGAGTATTCAATATCATTGTGTATTTGCATTCGGAATCTATCAACTACTTCGTCAACATCGTCAGGGTCCTCATCTTCGTCGTCAGACACATCATCTGCTGCTGTAATCTGTATATTATGTACAAGTTATGTATTTTTTTACTAATAGTTTACTGTCACCAAGAACTCACTCGAATGGGGTTGGCTGAAGCTACACGTGTTTGGAAGTCATCAAGGAAGTCATCAAAATGTCCATCATTTTTCCAATACTCGTCCTCCAATCTATTTACAATAATAATGTAGAAATTGCGAATTATTCCCATAATAGCGAATCTTGGTTTTACGAACCGGTGCACATGTTTGATGTGTTTCTGCCATTGTTCCTTTGTGTATGTTGTCATAATTCTCTCAGCCTCAGCTTGTGCAAACTCAGCGGTCCCCTGTGTGTTTGCAGCCCTAACTGCGTGCTTGATGTCTTTCCACACGTACTCAATTGGGTTCAAGTCGCTAAAAATAGTTATTACATGAATATTCTTATTACCGTTACCTATGATTACCAGTTCTTACCAGTTATATGGGGGTAATCTGGAAAATACGTAAATACAGTGTTTAAATAAATATTACAAATTATTAGTAAATTACCCATGAATAGAAAATAACTTTACCGGACAACAGTGTTTCCATATTTCAATGCCTCCTTATCCACAATGTAATATTCATTTCCGTTTTTAAGGTCTTGAACCATTTTCCATAATTCAGGTCGTCTCATTTGCTTTACAGGTTTTAGTTTCAGCTTTTCAGGGCCCTCTAAATTATCATTCAGCCAGTCGTATAGCTCTTGTTTTCGGGATGTAGATTTTGGGGCTTCCTTGGTGCTGTGATACGGAGCTGACAAATTTAAATAAATGAAATTCAAATTAAAATGGAATTTACCAATACAAATTATTGGATGATATTACCGTTATCAATAACAATTATGCATGGACCATAATTATCTTTTATCTTTTGATTAAGATCCTTCCACCAAGCCATGTAAGCCACACCGTTAACGTTTGCGTGGTAATCCATCTGGACTTTCTTCTTTGATACTGGATATACCTTCATAGCGCCAGGTACGAATCCATCCTCTCCACCTGTGAAGATAATTATTATTTTTAAATAATTTCCTATTTAATGTGGATAGTTGAACTGCACCTGCATGCATCACAATGATACGTGGTCCTCTAGAAATTTTCGGGTTTTGGAAGGAGTATAAAGCCGCTTCATGAAATGACTTTGGTGAATTAATAACCCAGCCTTTTCCAGTTCTAGCATAACTATCGACCCACGTTTCATCTGAATAAATATAATGCATTAATAATTATATTAAATTAAATTAAAACATTTTTGATATTTAATCAGCCAAACCTGTGTAGACAACACATTTTGGGTTCTCGGACTGACGATTTTTAATCATTACGGACAGATATTCATATCGCTTCTGCACGATGTCTGATCTCATGAGGATAACTGCTCGCTTATCAACAGTTTTGAATCTAAATCCTAATTGCTTAATGAGTTTTCTTAACGTCCACTTGGAACATTTGAACGCTGTAAGAGTTTCTCCTCGGGCTATCCGACCATCTTCTTCTTCCTTGACTTCCTCCATCAGTTTTGTGTATACGTTATGCATTGTTGGTGCTTGATTATTAGCATAGAATTGATGAATGATTCGTTTAACGTGCTCAGTTCGGAAGTCGTCAAACTGATCCATCACTGGCGTTGGTCTAATACGTTTCTTACCAGGTGTTTTTATACTATTCGTTTTGTAATTCTCCATTGTCTGATAAACTGTTCTCTCTCCAATTCCTAGAATCTGGCTAGTTTTGGTGACAGAGTTTCCTGTTAGTATTTCACACTGTACCTGGTTACTGTCAAAGAATACTTTGGCGTTGACAATTAACTTTTGAGCTGTCGCCTGTAGTGAAACACCAAGTAGTTGGAATGGGAGTTTAGTATTTGGTTGTTTACAGTCGTTTTTCGCTTTCGGTGTTGCTTTCTCAATTTCAAAGGCTAATTGTTGCATAGGAAAACTCGTAGGACTGCACCTCGAAAGACTAAGGTAAGGTTTGGTTCCATCATTCCGTCTAGGAACATCAGATAAAGGAATTCGCATTTCACCTTCCCCCAATACCTGTTCTTTAGCTCTGAGAAGGGAATAGAAATATCCACACTCAGAATCCGGACAAGGAGGACCAACAATTAGGACATCTTGAATGAACTCGTTTATAAGGTTCATCTTTTCGTCGTTTATGGGGGTTGGGAGATAGCCTACCGTGTCACTGCCGGGTGGAACATTTTGGATTAGTGAAAAAGATTGAACTGCTTGATGAAATTGCCCTTGATTGTGTCCGAAGTGAAGTAAAATTATGCAGTACGTCAATGACTCGGCAGGTAAGATTCCTTCGAGATGGTCACTAGTAATCTGGCTGTCAGAAAACAACATATCTGGTGCAACTTGTTTCGATCCGAGGACAAAGTAGAAATTTTTTATTTTGCGTTGCGTAGTTTGTTTCTCTTGTATGATTGAGAAGATCTTGTTCTGGAAAGATGCGTACATTACTTGGTGGATAGTCATCCCGCCCACAAGGATTATTTCAACGAATCCGTTAAGTGAATTAGTTTTTGGAGGACGAGCGCCTTTTGGGCAAATACGAACATGTTCAATAAACGAAATCTGGTTATCATCATTCTTGGTTGCAAATTCGTTCAAAATCATCCTACATCCCCCTTTGTAAGGGGCCGTTGGGTAAATGTCTGTTCCCACACATGTATCTTCACCTTCTGTACTCTTGGATGCATACTCTGTATTTGAAGTGTCCATTGGTGATTCACCGCCAGGAGCTGACCCTTCCCCTAACTCTTCACGTTGTCCACAGTGCCCACGTTCATCATCTCCATCACCATCCTCCTGTATTGATCAGAACAAAAACGTACATGAGCTTGTTACTACAATAACAATTTCACGATGTCCCCCACAACATCCGCGGTCGCTGCTATTTATAAATATGTTGCAATATTTCTCACAAGTGCGTCTGCATTGGTGTCCATTTCATCCACATTTGAGCATGGCATGACGAGGGAATTCATGTCAGACTGTTTTTGCTAAAAGTGATAAACTTGTATGAAATGCGTCTGTGCTCTCAGACAATAAATCGATGAATCTGAGCTAGCATTAATAGTGCAAAAATATAATCTTACATCGATATGCGGTGGATTTACATTAGTTTCTGGATCCACCGTGTAGCAGCTCCCTAGCCAAATATTTTGCAGAATACTTATCCACTTTGACTCCTGAGCTTGGCCTTCCCAGATGGCACGAGCAGTTGTTAGTGTTCCTGCTGAAGTTTTATCGTACACCGTTTCATGTGCAAAATGCAAAGTTAAACTGGGATAAAATCCTGCTGGGTAGAAATATAAGAAGGATGTATAGGACCCTCCAATTTGACTTTCGAAATATTTTTTGGCACTCATTGCGGCCGCAAAAAGTGGGAACAGATCTTTTCGATGTAATTGCACAGTAGTTAGAAGTGCCTCGTCTGCCTCTGATGGTAGAACCCCTAGCAAATAATCGACGTCATGTTTGCGGCATGCTGCATCTGTGAATAATATCAACACAAAAATTATAAAATTAATTTTCACAAATTTGACTTGGTTAGTGTATGAGCATAAATTGGGCAACAATTACCAACAGCATTTATTGGGCCACCGAGATCATCCTGCTTCTCAATATCGGTGGCAGGCCCGCAATATCTTAATTAATACCAATAATAAAATTATGTTAATAAAGAATCATTTCATAAAGATTCCAATCGCAACTTCAAAAATAAAAAAACTCATCCAAAATAACCAATTACCTATATCCAGGGAGATTGAAAGGTAATCCGCTTGGCGCCTTTTTAACTTTAGCTTTCTCCAAGGAAAGTATAATACCACGTGGGCGTCGGAGAGATCCAGGATGGAAAAATGCATCTTGACGAAGATGAAAGCAAGATGGCAATTTACCTTCGTTGGTAGGAATAAACGTGTGCTTTCTGGCAAAGAAGGCTGAATGCAGGAGACTTGTGTAGTTGAACCTGATGCATGATATTTGGTTGCACAGAATTAGAACTGTGCATGCAGAAGGAAGAGGAGTAGTGCCTTGAATAGCTTTAGTTACTGCTTGCTTGGTGGTACAGTTCTTCGTTTCAGCCGCTATATTACAATAAGTGTCACTAATTTTTTCCTGAGTTAAGTCGGATAGTTTATTGGATGGAAATGTGTGGTTGGCGTTTGAAATTGTGATGTTATTTAGTAGATAACGGCTGGCATCCACGAAACTTTTAAAATAAAAAGTTACATAGCTTTCACTTCCCCATATCCGTATCTTTTTATTTTCATACTCTACTTCTTCAATTTTGATAGTGTCACTGAAGAACATAACAGTTTCATTAATTTCCATACACATCGTTTGATTACATATCAGAAATCCACTGCAAGTGGATGGTAATGTCTCCTTGAACCAGATAACCAATCCACCCAGGTTATCCGTCTCATCACACACAACTTTAACCTGTTTATCTATTTCTATTTTATCGACATTCGCGCAACTTTTACCACAAACACAATGAACTATATATAACACATACAGTGTTCCATAAATTAAGTTATGCAACGTCATCTTCAATTTTAAAAATTAATAATTGAGCGGATACCAGTAAGTACAAACTCCAAAACTTAAATTTCAAAATGTCGACTGGAGAAGCCAGCAAGGATAAGGGGTCTCCCATCACCTCATATATTTATAATGCATCAGTTTTTAGGGGATATTCATCACCCCAACCATTAACCCAATCCTTCCCCAAACAAGATGGTGCATAAAGATATGTATATGAGAAAGGGACCAGTTTATACAAACATAAGTATGCTGCCTGAGACAGGCTATGAAGCCTGGTTACCATGGTTACTATGTTGACCCTTCAGGGACCCTTAACTGTTGCCCGATAGGTCAAAAAAATTCAGGAAAATATTTTTATGCTTGCCCTTTGCCAGGGGATTAATTTGATACCCCACTTGCATGGGGTTACCATGGTTACTATTTTGACCCTTCGGGGGCCCTTAACTCTTGACCTGAGGGTCAAAAAAATCCAGAAAAATATTTTTTGGGTTCCCCTTGTCCAGGGGATTAATTTGATACCCCACTTGCCTTTAGTTGTGAGGGAATGATATTTAACCCTTCAAGGGCTCCTAGTTCACGACTCAAGGGTCATAAAAATTTATAAAAATATTTTTCTGGTTCCCCTGGTCCAGGGGATTAATTTGATACCCCATTTGCATGGGGTTATCAGGGAACGCTATTTGACCCTTCAGGGGCCCTTAATTCATGACCCAGGGGTCATAGAACGCTAAAAATAATTTTTCTATACTATTCCCATGCTAGACTTTTATTTTGGACCAGTTTGGAGGAAAAAATTTTTTTGACCGGTGACGTCGTGAAATTAATGCTACAAAGCGGTGTAATAAGTCTGCAGGGTTAGAACTTCATCCACAGTAGCCACGTGCCGTATGAAGTATACATGGCGGCGGGGCGTTGTTTCGTGCACCTTGCATTTCTCCCAGGTCAAAATATGAAACCACTTTCTTGCCCTTATTTCGTGCAAGTGAATGATTACTCGCACCCGAAGCAGTGCATGCCAATTAGGCATGAGTAACCTGGCGGGTTGTTTATTTTTAACTTTTTCCATCCTGTACTAACCTTCAGCGGAGGGAAGACGCGGTTTTGCCGAGATTTTCATCTTGTGCGACGTTTCACTTCCCGGTGCCTTCCCGTTTGCCCGGTGAGAGGACAAAATGGTGGCTTGGAAGAGGTCAGGGGACCAAACTTTGAGCAGAAAAAGGTCAATACGAGACTCAGGCGAAATTTTGTTGACACTTTTTCCACCTCTTTTTAAATTTATGGTAGGGAAATTTCACAAAAAATGCTGTACGGAATTTGAAATCCTTTTGGAATGATGTCAAGATTATTTGACTTTATCACCAGGGGGCGGATATGTATTTATGATAAATCGCTGAAATATCATTTAATTTTTAGGAAAAAAATACGCCAAAATTCCATTATTGTTTATTATTTTTAAATAAGATACAATTTTATACCATGTATTTTTACGAAAAAACAATAAAAATAATAATTTACATTTTGCCATTTTATTTTTCAATTTATGATAATGCTCTGAATATATTGTCAATTTTGGTCAGATTTCTTTGAGCAAAAAAAACACATCATCGTTGAAATATTTATACACAAAATAAATACATTTTTGGCAATATATGCAAAAAAGATTTACGTATTATTTTTTCAAATAATAGCGGAAATATTTATAAATAATAATTATTTATAAATTATTAAAAATTATTTATTTTCAGAAATATAATTATTTATAATTTGTTAATAAAATACACTTATTTCTGTACAGAGTAACAATGTCTGTAAAATACATGGTAGTTTTAGATATAATAAACTTCATTAAACTTTTTTTCCTGGTGGAAGTGTCCCCAGGATTGAAGCTACATTTCCACGTTGAACTGTAATGCCGAGTCGCTGGAGGAGAAAAGTTGTGGAGCGTGGTTCTCCAGTCGCGGTAGCGATCCGTTGTCCAATCTCTTTAATGAAGGATAACCCCTCCTGACCCCATGTACCTGTCGTCTCAATTGCAACGGGCATAAAGATGAATCGGTCCAGGAGAAAGGCGTACAATTTTTTCTTTCTATCTTCTGCCTTTGTTGCTGCTGCTCCTTGGTGGCGGACTGTCTCGGGGAGATAACTAGGTGCGAAGGTGTCAGCGCAGGTAAAATCCCACACAAGGGATCTTCCTCTTGCCCACGGAACGAGAGTCATCCCGTCTGGATGCTTTCCGTCTTGGTGTGAACATCCGGGTGGTTCAAGGATGCAGAGAACATCGGCTGATCGAAGCGCCCTCGCGATTACGTCGTTAGCGGCTGCGTGGCGAGACCACCGACCAGCACTTCGTCGACAGAAATATAATTATTATATTTCTGAAATAAATTAACTCTGTACAGAAATAAGTGTATTTTATATTCAAACTAAATTAAAATTTGTTAACAAAAAAAAAAAAAAAAAAAAAAAAAAAAAAAAATATTTCTGAAAACCTAGAAGTATGTAACAATACGTAAAAAATATTTCGAAATTTTAGTAATCTATGCGAGTTGGGGGACACGCTCACAAAGTTTGACCCTTGGTCGTCATCAAATGAAAATAAATACATATCCACCCTCTGTTAATAAATTGACCCTGGCCGGCGTGCATAATAAAAATGTTGTTAGGATACCAAAATCTCACTCAACCGACACAATAATATTCGTCTCGCCAAAAATAATGAAATCGTTTTATCGATCAATCAACCCATCCAAAGGAAAGTTCCGATTCACAAAATCTGGGTGGAGGAACAAGGGTAAACAAAACAAGATAACTGCTAAATAGATAAGCATATCGATTAATTAATATTGTGAATATCAATATTAATTAATGAATATCAATTAATTTCAGTATTAATTATTAAAATTGTGCCCCCTTTAATTCCCCACAGTTCAAGAACGTTAAGTCCATATTGTCCTTCTTTTAATCCATCAATTTCTCCCCTTTAATCCGTCCCCTCCTTCTTTTCTCTGTAAAACATTGCACTCTTCGTCCTCACGTCATGTCTTTTCCCCAAAAAAATCAGCCAGACGACGTCCCCGACGATGAAGAAATCGGCAATGATAACAACGAAGAAGGCGAAAATGAGGACACGATCAAAGAAATTGAATCAATTTTAGCACAATTTGACGCCCAAGAAGAAGAACAAGATGGCGATCAAGTCCCAGCAAATGAAGAAGAACAGGAACAAGAACAAGACATCGTTCCGTACATGTCATCGTTTCAAAACGACCCACAAACTGAAGTTGAAGAGATCCTTGCCCCCGCGAAAGGAAAGAAAACACTGTATTTTAGAAGTCGCAGTAGTTCAAATTCGAGGTAAATAAATAAATATGCACTTTTGAACGTTTTAATTTACGAAAGATTACTCAAAATTCGTCCCGGTGTTTCTGGTGCAAGAAATAACGGGAAGAAAGTGGTTTATTGCAGACAAATATTTTGACCTGCAAGAAATGCGAGGTGCAAGAAACTACGCACCGCCGCAATAAATACTTCCTGCGGCGCGTGGCTAGATGGTACATGTTTCTTGCACTTTTTCCCAGTTTCTTGCATCTCACATTTTTTGCATCGTTTGCTGTGCCCTGCAAGAAATGTAGCAAACCTGCAGAAAATGAAACATTTGCACGTAACCTATTAATACTTCTTCCCATTTTACCCACAGAATTTCATTACAAGAACAACTTGACGACGATCAAGCCTGGACAATTCAGAACGATGTTGAATACAATTCCGACGAGGACAACGAAGCAGAAGACCAGGAAAACGGCGACCACACCGAATTGGCTAAACTCCTCCAGGAAATTTCCAACTTTGAAGAAAACCTTGAAAATCCCGTAATATAAAAAATATTTCCACAAATTTTACAAAAATTTCTCCAAATTCATACCAAAAGCACCCCCACAAATTTATTTTTCAGGCCGATTTACCACCTTACGATCCCGCCTACGACGCTGATTACTTCTACGATTACGATTACACTCTGCAAGACGACGACGATGGCACTTATGTCCGCTACAGTTTCGAAGATAACGTCGAAAATGAAGACGAGGAGGAGGAGGACGAAATTCTCCCCAGAATCGACAGTTCTCAAGCTTTTCTCGACACGGTGATGACAATTCCGGAAGAAGAGGGAGACGACGCGCTGGATAAGGCCGCCCTCATGTCCGACGTGAAGGACTTGTTAGCCTCGTTTTGTCAGGATGAGTCGAGGTGCGTTTAATTAATGTAGGGTTGATGACTTGTCAGAAAAATCGGACAATTTTTAATCATTTCTTGGCTGTGGGAATTTATCTTAAAATTCTGGACGACTATATAATTTGTAGAGGAGGTCGTTACCAATTTTATAAAAATATGTACTCCAGATTTTGACACTTTTTGAAGCAGGAGATCTCAAGTTTAAGAACCCTTCAGAAAAATTGGAACTCCTCGAAACTAGCTCAAAAACCTTTCCGCCATTCCATTAATCAACTCACTGACTACAAATTTGTCGCCCCGAATTTCAAAATAAATTCCCAGAGGCGAAAAATCAATAGAAATCTGTGCTGATTTTAACAATCTTGGTCATGAATCATCGGGTCCTGCGTTAATTAGTCAATTAAATACCGAAGAAGTGTGAAAAAATGATGCGAAATAAAATTTTGCACACATATTATTTCGTAAAAAAATAAATAAATGATTTTTTTATAACTTTGTGACCGCACAGAGTTTGTGACGACGAGGAAACGACGCCTGTCGAGGAGTCGAGCACTCTTCCAGTTCATGACCGGTGTCCATCGATCGAGTCGTTTTTCAAGCAGGAGCGAGGGGCCTCCGTCTTCATTTATTTGGTTCCTGGGCGAAAAATGATGTCGAAACATGTTCCCCTCGACACGACCATCTTTCAACTTAAGGTTTACTCACGATAGGGTGTCAAAAATAGGAAGATTTTGAAAACACGGGTTTTGATTTTTGAAACTTTCATAAAACCGGTTTTAGAATTACTCCAAAATCATTTTTTAAACTAATTTTTGACATCAGTTTTAGACAGAATTTTAAAAATTGAGCAAAAAGTTCAGATAATATTTACAATACAAGTTTTCCAATTTTTCCAAATGTTCATAAAACCAGTTTTCGATTTTCTAAAAAAAAACTGGATTTTGACTCACCATCAGTCGTAGACCGAATTTTAAAAACTTAGTATGTAAACTTCCGATAAAATTTATAACATATCAAAATTTAGCCATATACTTTTAGAAAAATTACTATTAATTCTTCCATAAAAACCAGAAATCGTAAACCGTAGCTCTGAAATTCCAAAATTTGCAAAAGATTCAAAACCTTCAAAATCTTAAAATCTGAAATACCCCTTTTGAACGCCTGCATAGACACATTTTCCACCTTTTTCATAATCTTTTCCGATCTTTTTTGCAGTCATCCGTCTCCCGTTTCTGCAAACTGTCCCCTGAACTCTTAGACTTCCGTCTGAAACACAACCTTCTCTCGAATGCGAAAACTCTCCTCGAGCTGGGCGCCACCCCGCAGAAAAAGATGCGTTTTACCGTCGAGCTGAATAAACGGATGGTCATAGGCGACGTGCTCCCGATCCTGCACGTTCCGGAAATCAGTGACAAACCGGAAACGGAACGGGGCGACACGGTCCAGATGGTGAACGTGGTCGTCAAAGATGGTGACGACCAGGGGGGCGTCGTCACCACGGTTCAGAGAAAAGTGGTCGTCGTCCATCCGAAAGAGAGGAAACCCATGTTGGGCGGGTTCAAGGACAAAAGAACGGCCACCGTGTACCACGACGCGGCCACGATGGTCGCCACGGCAGATTTATTGGAGGGGGAGGAAACAGAAGAGGATGTCAGTGGGGAGGAAACGTGTCGAAAAGTTGACATTTTAAATCAATGTCAGGTCTGGAAGAAGGGGAAGAAACCCAGCACGGCGGAGAGGATGGATAGGTCAGCGAAATTAAATTGACCTATTCAAATATATGTGTTACCGGTGTGCGAAATATGTCCCTCTGCATTTTTCGCGAAAAACCCAACCTCAAAAATGATCTCAAAGATAAAACTAACAATGGAGGTCTCCCAATGTATGCTCTCCGATTTTTGAGCAAATTAGTGTCACTCGATCGCAAATTTGAAATTTGATGAAATTTGCGAAAGACACGATTTCCCAATGGGCATGATTAGCACAGATATTTGCATCCGAGCAGGAGAAAACCGGCCTCAATTTGACAAATTTTACACTTTCCAAATTAACTGCAGATTTTTTCCTCTTGGGATGCAAATATCTCTGCCAAACGTGCCCATTGGGAGATCGCGTCTTTCGCAAATTTCATCCTAATTAAATTTGTGCCTGATTGACACTGTGGAGAGCATACGCTGGGATAACTCCATTATGAGTCGTTAGCTATGCTCCAACTTATCAAAGATCAAAATTTCATATCCCAATTTTACTTCACGTTTTACCACGTCACTTGTGCGATTTTTGACTTTTACCATCTTTTGAGGGGACAAACCTACAGAATTTTGTTTTTGAAATAATCCTAATTTCTGAGTTGATTTCAATTTTTTTAATTCAGAGTCTACTCGAACAATGAAATCACGACGCAAACCCCTCTCTCAACCTGGACACAAGTCGATGTTCCTGGCGTTTACTACTCCAGCGAAGGCAAGGACATCGTCGTCTACTCGAAGCGATACCGAACGTACGAAGAAGTCCAAGCCGAACGGGCCCGCGCGGTCACCACGATTGCGAAATATTGGCGAAAATTGACCGCCAAGAGGAACCGCCAGAGACGATTTGACACCCTCATCGCCCGTGTCGACCACGCCGAAAAGATCCGCAAAGGGAGGCAGGAAGAGAGGAAGCGCATCATGGAGGAAGAATTGCACCGACAACAAAACCCGACCCGACTCGTAATTTACATAATTATATAATTAATTAACTAAAGACTCGATGACTTATCGTCAAAATCAGCACATTTTTAACCGTTTCTCCGCTCTGGGAACTTATTTTAAAATTCTGCACGACATATTTGTAGTCAGTGAGTTGATTGATGGAATGGCGTTGAGTTTTTTGAGCCAGTTTCGACGAGTTCCAATTTTTCTGAAGGCTTCCTAAACTTTACTACTTCAAAAAGTGTCAAAATCTGGAGTGCGTATTTTTTAAAAAATTGGGAACAACCTGCTCTACAAATTCATCGTCCAGAATTTTAAAATAAATTCCCAGAGCGGAGAAATGATTAATGAAAATGAAAAATGATTATTGATTCAGACGATTTTGGTTACGAGTCATCAAGTCCTACATTAATTAAATATCCAATTAAATTACTAATTATGATTAAAATTCAGCTCGACCTTGAACTCCTTTACCGAGAAATCAACAACTGGCGAGAAGAGCAGGAAACCTACATCTTAAAGAACCGCTGGGGTCCGGAGCGCAAAGCCGCGTTGGCCACGCTCGCAGAAATGGAGTCGGATCTCCTCCTGGAATTAGAGCGGACGAAGCGCAACATCATCACGAGAGGAAGAAATAGATTTATGCATGGCCAGTTTAAACAGGTTTTTCTCGCGCAAGCTTTAATTATCTTGTGAATTGGGCAGTTAATTAATTATTTAATTTGGGGTAGATGTGCCTCCCGAGACGTTGGTTTAACCCGAAATCGTCCTGTTTCCTGTCCTTCGACACCGAGGTAAATTTACGACACAAAATTTCGTGGGTTCGATTTCTGCTTTATTCCCGGAAAAATGGACCCTAAGAATGCTGGAAAATTCCCGAGAACTTTCAAAATTTCCGGGAATTTTCGAACAATTTGGAAAATTAAGAGGGTGACGAATGCCGGGAAAAGGAGCTACTAAATAATAATAACCTTTCGGGATTCCCTTCCCCCAATTTTCCGAAAAACCCGAAATCGAACTTGAACTTCAAACATGCTGCAAAATTCCAACTTGAATTTGACCTGTATTTTCTTAGGGGCGAGTCAAATGCCGGAAATTGCACGATATATATAAAGCTTTGCTCCAACGCGTCGAACCCACGGAGGAAGGACATCGAAGGAGATTAGACTTGATCAAAGGCGTTCATAAGCTGGTACATAAAGAATTAAATTATGTTGAAATTAATTATGTACATACTTTAACATGGGACTCGACGATTCATCATCGCCAAAATCGTAAAAATCAGCACATTTTTAATCATTTCTCGCCTCTGGGAACTTATTTTAAAATTCTGGACGACGAATTTGTAGTCAGTGAGTTGATTAATGGAATGACGCTGAGTTTTTTACGCAAATTTCGACGAGCTCCAATTTTTCTGAAGGCTTCTTAAATTTAAGATCTCCAAAAATTGTCAAAATATGGAGTGTATGTATTTTAAAAAGTGACAACTCCCTGCTCTACAAATTTGTCGTCTAGAATTCTAAACTAAATTCCCAGGACCAAGAAATGATTACAAATGACAAATGTGTTAATTAATTTGCACGATTTTCGCGATGATTCACCGAGTACTGCTTTAATTGACATCGATCCCTCGTCTCCAGCTCATGATCCAAACTGACACCATGAAGCGTGCCCAAATCCCGTTAGCGGACATGTTGACGGAGCTCTTCTCCAGAGAAATTAAGTTTATGAACACTCCTGGAGTCAATAAGCTCCTCTCCGGAATTCGGAAGAGGTAAATTAATCGCTTATCGCTTAAATTAAAAGATATCAGGGTTATCATCTGAGATCATTTTTTAACAGGGTGGCCAATACGTTCTTCTATTTGTGTATGGATCCCGCATTTAACGATGACGCCCAAAGAGTTGATAAGGTATTTACAGATAATTGTCCCGACTATAAATGAGATTGGTTATTTAATTAGCATATGTAGGACTGGATGACTTATCGCCAAAATCAGCACTTTTTAATCATTTCTTCGCTCTGGGAATTTATTTTAAAATTCTGGACGACAAATTTGCAGTCAGTGAGTTGATTGATTGAATGACGTCGAGTTTTTTTTAATCAGTTTCGATAAGTTTCAAATTTTCTGAAGGCTTCTTAAACTTGAGATCTCCTCCTTCAAAAAGTGTCGAAATCTGGAGTGTATATTTCTAAAAAAAAAATTGGGAACGACATGCTCTACAAATTTGTTGTTCAGAATTTTAAAATAAATTCCCAGAGCCGAGAAATGATTACAAATGTGCTGATTTTGACAATAAGTCATCGAGCCCTACCTTAACTCGGTTTTCAAAACGGCAGATTCCGTGGGACTCTGTAAAACTGAAGAAGGACATGATTCAGTGTAAAGGATGTAGGAAAATCCAGTACAAAGACGACTTCATAATTGAGAAAGGTACTTATTTTTTAGTAAATGAAATTCTTACTGGGGAAATAAATTCACTCGGACGTTTGTAACGTAGTAAATTATCAAACTGTGATTTTGCGAGGATTGCAAAAGTCTTAGAAATAATTAGATGTAGCAAAAAGAAAATCTGGAAATATTACAATGTTATGTAGTTTATTGAGAAATACTTATTTTGGCGTCAAAATTACCACATTTTATTAAATTGATTTTTTCTTAAGGAAATTAATTAACTCTGATATTTGTAACGTAGTAAACTGTGATTTTGCGAGGTTTGCAAAAATCTTTAGAAATAATTAGCTATGGGAAAAATCAAATCTGATCGTGTTATGTTTGTGCAATTTATTGAGAAATATTTAGTTTTGGCGTCAAAATTCTCACATTTTAGGAGATCAAAGTATTATTGCGGAAATTAATTAACTCGGATATTTGTAACATAATAAATTATTAAACTGTGATTTTGCGAGGTTTACAAAAATCTTGGAAATAATCAGATTCCAATCTGCAAAAAATCTGATAGGCTTATGATGACGCATAATGTAGGAGAGAATAGTGGAATTTGGTGGTTGCAAAAGAGAGCAAGGATAGGAAGCAGGGCGGTTAGCCTAGTGGTAAGGTGTTCTCCCGGCATGAGAAAGACACTAGGTTCGATTCCTCGTACCACATTTCCTTCTTATTTTTGCTCTCAACGCGTATGCAATCCTCCGAAAATCCCACAATAATCTATTGAGAAATTTTTCTTCGGCGTCAAAATTCTCATATTTAGTAAATAAAAAAGTATTATTAGGGAAATTCACTCCGACGTTTGTAACGCAGTAAATTGTTAACCTTTGATTTTGCGAGGTTTGCAAAAGTCTTAGAAATATTAGAAATAATCAGATATTGCAAAAAAGCAACCTGGAACTATTGGATTGTTATGCAATTTATTGAGAAATATTAATTTCGGCGTCAAAATTCTCAAGTTTTAGTAAATCAAATTTTTATTGGGGAAATTAATTAAGTCGGATATTTGTAACGCAGTAAACTGCGATTTTACGAGGTTTGCAATAATCCTACAAATCAAATAACCGAGGTCAGTAAATCCATTGGATCTGGTAGGCTTTGATCTTCATTTAATTTATTGCAGATATATATTTTTGGCCTTAAAATTATTTTTTCCTGACAGTTCAGTAAATTTATGCACAAACAGTTATAAAGTGTATCATTTTTTGAAACTTATTTTACAAAAGTTACACAAAATGAAGAAACCTAAAGACAGTGATCGAATTTCATGAGCAACTTTAGAGCCAAAATAAATGATATCTGCAAAATGTCCCATTTCTGAAATGTGTTTTAAAATTTTCTGCACATTCTGACGATTGAATTTAACTTTAAACAAAAAATGGGACATTTTGCAGTCATCACTTATTTTAGGGCTAACCACCACCACTTTTGCCATACTATCCCATGCATTTTAATTTATTGCATTGTGCATCGTTGTTAGAGGTAACTAAACGGAGTTGTATTTTCATATTTCTGCATTATTATTATTTGAAAATAAAAAAAAAACTCGATCGATCTTTCCACAAATCCTGCTGATTTTTTTTCAATCATGCCACACACTACCTGTTTTTTGGAGGACTGTCACAGACGGATTAAGTCAAATCAGAAACGCCATCGACTTGGAGCTCCTGCACTTTGGCCCTTGTACAGTCGACTTTTTGAAAATTCGGAGCAGGCGCACAAAACTGAGGTCATTTGCGAAGCATGCCACGTCAAGGTACAATCAATATTTAATTTAGTTTAGTAATATTTATATTTAATTTCCACCTTTTATGCAGATTCGCTCACAACTGAAAGATGAAGCGACGAAGCACTTCCGACGGTCAAAACCTCAAGTAATGGACGAGGGTGTCATTCTACCTGGCCGAACCAGGTTAAATATGAGAAGAGAAGAGAATGATGTTCGTGGCGCTGAGGAGGAAGATCGTCGTGGCGATGATGAAGACGGTGATCGTGGCGCTGAGGAGGAAGATCGTCGTGGCGGTGATGCAGACGCTGCAATTGGCGCTGAGGAGGAAGATCGTCGTGGCGGTGATGAAGACGGTGATCGTGGCGCTGAGGAGGAAGATCGTAGTGATGAAGATAGTTCTCGTGGAACTGAGAAAGATGATTGTCGGGGTTGTGAAGATGGAGGTGACGACGACTATTTTTGTGGGGCTCACGACGACTATGCTGGGGGAGAAGAGATTGACCGCTTCGAGTATGGATTATTGGAGATGGAGCTAAACGACTTTCGTTTAGACGGTGAGTCCAGCATGTTAAATTATGACAATAATATCGTAATTACCTTATCATTTACCAGGTGGACAAGATATTGATACTGCACTCGACGATGGCGCAATTTCTCAATGGCACGACAAGGATTCAATGGCTATATCCATAAGTAGCAGAAGCGAAATCGAATCACAATGGAGCACTCAGGGAACTATTATCACGATGACCACTACCGGAAATGACTCACAGGCGTCAGCTCTTTCTTCTCAGGCCCACGGATCATGCATCTCTCAAATATCGATGTCAAGCTCAACGTCTACCAAATCCCGGCGACTACCAACTATCGACTCTGTTGGATCCACGCAGAAGCGATGCTTTATATGTAATAACCCTTCTGGAAGAAAGCGAATTCCGAAATCCGCCATCACTCAAGTTTGGACCGAGAAAGAAATATTCATACCACATGACAATCGCTGCTGCGCTATGCACCTCGAGAGACAATTGTTCACTGATGAGGCGATAGAGTTGATCATCCCAACTAAACATGGTGTCTTGATGTCGGATGAAGAGCTTGCACAGTGGATTTTGGATCTCAGCAGCAATAAAAACAAGTTAGGTGCTCGAAGACGTCGTTATAATTTCGACGATCCAACTGACGTGGAGAAGGACGATTACCCAAATCTTGTCGGATTCTCGAAAATTCAGTTCAACTCGCTGCTGACAGAAATATCCGGTCATGTACATAACAGTGTCAACAGAAGTGTCCGAAACGCGTTGGCCATCTTCCTTATGCTGCTTCGCCACAACTTGTCTCAGGTATTAATATTTAAGATTTATTCTTACCGCAAAATTCATTAGAATGAATACTTAATGCTGAAATACTCTTGTATGCAGAAAGTGCTGGGCAGTCTTTTTGGAAGCAATCATGCGTAAGTGAGACCATTGATGCAGTCGCTACAGCGCTAGACAACCATTTTGTCAAGAAATACCTCGGATTTGAACACTTGTCCCGTGAAGCAGCCCTTCGTGACCACTCTCGTCCCATATACTCGAAGCTATTTAAAGAAGAAGACCCAACTAAGCTGTTTCTTATCATGGATGGAACCTATATTTATATTGAAAAGCCGGCCGATTTTCACCTGCAGAAACTAACTTATTCTGGGCAGAAAAAACGCAATTTGATCAAACCATTCATGATAGTTCTTCCGTCAGGGTATATCTTGGCTGCGTGTGGTCCTTATTATGCAAATGGTAAGTGTATTTTAGCGGCAAAGCTGGAAGATGTAGCAAAATGTATAATCCATTGCAAGTTATATAATTGTCAAATAATCCTTAATTTTTAATTTCAGGTGCGAATAACGACGCTGGGATCTTAAAATCCGTCTTGTCGGAGCTGCCACCTGATTCACCTTACTTGAAACCGGGCGATCACCACATTCTGGACAGGGGATTCAGAGACGTGATTCAGACTCTTCTTCGCCTTGGACACCTCACACATATGCCGGAACTACTAGACACCGATGATAAACAATTCACCACTTCGCAAGGAAATGAGTCAAGACGGGTCACGTTGGTCAGATGGTTGGTGGAGACAGTAAATGGAAGAATCAAGAAAAAGTTCAAATTATTTCGAGAGACGGTTCCAGGAGGTAAGTCTATGTAATAATTTATGCGTACCAATGTCAATGTATGTTGGTACAAGTTTTAAAGTTATTACACTGTGCGATTAATTGCAGGATACCTTGAGAAGCTGCCCATGTTCTTCAGAATTGGTTGCGCCCTTATTAACTGTTTCTGCCCTCCTCTCTCCACCCACTCACCCAAGCATGATAAGATAGCCGAACGAGCATTGGAACTTGCTGACCAGGAGAATTTACTACAAAAGCGAGTGGAGGACGAGAAGATGGATCGCCGGACTAAGGAATGGAAGACAGCCTCGCTGAAAGAATTTCCAAAATTCCCGAAGCTTTCCGTTGACGATTTAGAGGACATTACCCTTGGAGTGTATCAGATTGGATTGGCCAAGAGATACGCTAATCTGCACATGAAAAATTCTCCAATCTTTGAAATTAAACTGAATTCAGAATTTCCCAACATCGTGCGAGCCAAGATTGAATCAAGATTTACAGCCAACAAGGCCCACGATCTATGGATCGAATATTCTTCGGACCCAGAAGTTAAAGGTGCTGACGCCATAAGAGGTTTCTATTGTAAATGTAAACAAGGCGCTCGGACAATGGGCTGTTGTGCACATATTTCCACGGTAAGTTAAAATTATTTTATATAAAAAACCTCAACTTTATAAAATATAAATAAATGCTATTTTTGTGTTATTATTAAAGGTGCTGTGGTACTTGGGTTATCAAAGGTACCAAAACCCAGTTACAATTAACGTGCGGAAACGGAAGCTGGAAATTATCAACGCGGGGCGTTCCAAGGAAGTGGTGGCGGAGAACTAAGACGAAGATTTTGGTTATACTATTTTTAGTTAAGGTTATGCATGCACGTCAAATCTGGTAATGATTAACAATTTTAGTTCATTTGTAAAGTACGAGAGAATTTGGGAAAGCCCATGTGTACTATGATTGATTTCGTAGTTGGCAAATCCCAAACGTACTTGCAAATGCATGGAGGGTGATTAAAATTAATATTAATATTTTATATTATTTTTTCAGGTTTCAAGGTTCAACAGTTTCGAGTTACAATCTTTCTGTGATTTATGCATCTCCATAAATATGTATATACTATCTGTGTGTATAATATCTGTGTTATATGTACAAATTATATTGTATACAATTATAAATATGATCCTTAACATTCAAGTAAACGTCGTTATGAAATTAAGTTAACATCGGCTTTTGACATCTCGCTTCCAATATCTTCAAATATGTACGTATTACTCCTTCGCTTAATATTCCAAAATGTGCATCACTTGTTACCACACAACTAAAAATAATTATTAATATCTTATCTAATAAGGGGGCCCAGCATCTTGCATTATAATAAATGAAAAACAATGCAAATGGGCCACGGTTACCGTCAAATTCGATCACTGTCTTTCATTTCCTTCGTAATCTTTGTAAATTTATGGATTACAAAGTTTCAAATAATTGTACAATAGGTTTGTAGCCTGAATTTGCCTCGTTAACTCGCGAATTACAAAGTTTCGCGTGAATTTAATGAAACTAAATGAATATTTTGTTCCTTTTTTCAGGGACGAAATTGACGCAGCGCTGCAGAACGTGCGTTGGGCTCTACCGCACCGCAATTCTCCGCATTGACCTCAATTTGTACCGGCAAATGTTGGACGAGCTGAGACGCGACGAGTTTCAGGCTGGCGTCCCCAACTCGATGTCATACCTTATCGACGTATGTGCACAGACTTATCATACGACTTGATAATCAAGATCGTCAAAATCAGGACATTTTTAATTATTTCTCCCTCTCTGGGGATTTATTTTAAAATTCTGGACGACTAATTTGCCGTAAGTGAGTTGATTAATGGAATGGCGATGAGTTTTTTGAGCCAGTTTCGACGAGTTTCAATTTTTCTGAAGGCTTTCTAAACTTGAGATCTCCTCCTTCAAAAAGGGACAAAATCTGGAGTGTATATTTCTAAAAAAAATTAGGCTCTACAGTGTTGACACCTCGCCTGATCGTTTTTCAGCACATCGTAATCACTTCTGTGGGAATTTATTTGAAAATTCTGGACGAAAATTTGTTTAACAGGTCGTTCCCAAGTTGTTGAAAATATACACTCCAGATTTTGACACTTTTTGAAGAGGAGATCTCAAGTGTAAAAATTCTTCAGAAAAATTGGAACTCGTCGAAACTGGCCCAAAAAACTCGACGCCACTCCATCAATCAACTCACCGACTACAAATGCGTCGGTCAAAATTTTAAAATAGATTCCCAGAGGCGAGAAATATCTTAAAATGTGCCGATTTTGGCGATGAGTCATCGATTCTTCTTCGTTAACTAACTGAAAAGAGGTCATGACCTAATAAATACTTGAAATCATCTAGGCATTCGACATGCGCGTCCTTGTCGAGCACATTTGGCACTCACAATCCGCCCTGTCCGGAAGTGCGAACCGGTACATGTTGCGCCTGTGTCGCTGGAAGCGAGAATTCCCGTGGTCGCCTTGGAACACGGTCCTCCTCACGGAGGAGGAAGCCATAGCGCATCTCCACCTTGAAGAGATGGAGTCGGTAAGTGATTTAGTAATTAATCGATAATTAATTAATTGACAAGGATGGGCGAGTTTTTGATGGATTACGGACTAATTAATTTGACAGTGACTTTTGTGGGGTTATTTTACTTGCCAAGCTGAATAAAATGCATGGAGGATTGGATTAGAGATTAATTTAACAGATGAATATAGCAGATTACGGATTACAGTAATCTATATAATTGTGAATTATAGGACACTTCGTGGTATTACGGATTATTTAAAATTTTAGGGTTTTATGGGATTACTGAATACAGATTATGATTAAAAAATCATGAAATTATGGATTACGAACAATCAATAAATTTTATATTTCATGGGGTTACTAATTACGGATTATGTTTTTAAAAGTATGGGATTACTGATTACGGTTCATTAAAAAAATGTGAAATTATGGATTATTTACTATTTTTTACTGTTACGAATTAATCAGATACGTCAATCTGATTAAACTAATTGCCCACTCTTGTCAATTATTTAAATAAGTGGTGATTTTCCACATTAAAAATTATGTCCTTATTTATTCAGGCTTATCGACCCTCCTTGATGCACAAAGTTAAAGTGAAACATGCCACTGCGAAAATCTATTTTCAAGGCTTGGCGAAATTTGCGCTTCGACTGGACGACCGTGTCGCCGAGTCGTGTCAGAAGATTAAGGAATCCGAAAAAAGAGCACTTTCTTCGATTAAACGGTTGAAAAAGAGGGTCAACTATGTCGGACTTTTCCATCAAACCATGCTCGCCAGAGGGGGAGGAGGAGGAGGAACAAGCATTAGTGCAGGAGGACATGTCATGGCTTAACTGTAATTAAGAAATAATTAGTAAAATGTAGGCAGCATGTCATGATTAGGTAAAAAAACGTATGTATAATATGGTGAGAAAAATAATGATAATAAACTCCGGAGAATCACGAAATGGTCGTACATATGTACGCATTTTTGGAAATAATTACTAATTTAGCATCAAAATTCGTAATCCAAATTTTACAAATTTTAATTCCCATTTCATTAGCTTATATAATAAATTGATAACCTGTGTAGCGTCGCATAAATCATCAAGTGGTCATATACTTTGGAAATAATTATTTATTAAGATTCGGAAATTTAGAGGTCCAAATTTTTGTAAATTTTAATTCCCATTTCATCTTCTTATGTAGCGAAACCTAGCGTCGAATAAAGGAACAAGAATTAGTGCTGGAGGACATGGCTTAACTTAACTATAATTAAACAGGATAATTAGTAAAATGTAGGTAGCATGTCATCATGATTAGGTAAAAAAATGTATGAAATGGTGAGAAAAATAATGATAATAAACTCTGTAGAATCACGAAATGGTCATATTTTTGGACATAATTATTCAACGGTGATTCAACACCAAAATCAACACATTTTTAATACTTTCTCTCCTCTGGGAATTTATTTTAAAATTCTGGACGACAAATTTGTAGTCAGTGAGTTGATTAATGGAATGGCGTTGAGTTTTTTGAGCCAGTTTCGACGAGTTCCAATATTTCTGAAGGCTTCTTAAACTTGAGATCTCATCCTTCAAAAAGGGTCAAAATCTGGAGTGTACATTTTTAAAATTGGGAACTCCTTGCTTTATAAATTTGTCGTCCAGAATTTTAAATAAATTCCCACAGGCGAGAAATGATCCATTTGGCGATGACGCATCGAGTCCTATTTTAATTACAATTTGACAAGTAAAATTAAATTCCTTCCAAAAATTTCCAGATTTTGAAATGCTATTAACTCACATTTAATATCTAGGTAACTTGTGCTTTAATAAAAATCACGTGTTCCAAATTATGCCAAATTTTGCTTTCGAAATTAGTACGTTTTGCAAATATTTTTTTTTTGCATAAAATGGACATTATTTCCGCCCTTATTGCGTCATTCGTAATTTTAACTTTCCTCTCAACTTTGACATTAACCCCAGCACACAGGGACAAACATGGCATCAGGTTTTTCAGCCTAGCGTGGCGCTTCGTCTGCGCGACCATTTTTCAGACCATTGTTTGGGTGGTGCACTTCAAAATGGTGCCAATTTTAGATCGCTGGGCGTCCCTCGGACCAGTGGATACCATGAAAGGATTCGTCAAGAACTGGTCAGTTTTAATACTAAATTCTGATAAAATCAGTGTTTCGGAAGCAAGAAATTATGGAAAAGAAAGTAGTTTTTGCAGGGGAATATTTTGACCTGCAAGAAATGCAAGGCGCAAGAAACTAAACTACGCCCTGTCGCTGTACTTCCTACGGCGCGTGGCTGGATGGCGCTTATTTCTCTCACCTTCTCCCAGTTTCTTGCACCTCGTTTTTCTTGCGGTCATTGCTTTGCAGTGTAAGATGCAAGAAATGACCAAATTTGACCTCGTTTTTTCTGAATTTTGACAGTTTGAGAGTTTGACAGTTTGACAGCTCTCTCGGATGCAAGTGCCCATTGCAAGAAATAGCGTTTTTTTTTGCAGCTGAATATTTTGACATGCAAGAAATGCAAATCGCAACAAACTACGCCCCGCCGCGAATATGTACTGCATACGACGCGTGGCAGGATATCGCATATTTCTTGCACTTTCTCCCAGTTTCTTGCATCTCGCATTTCTTGCGTGGCTTGTTTTCAATGCAAAAAATGTCAGCTATTTTGACCTGGAAGAAATGCACCGCACAGGAAACTAAGTAAGCCCCATCGCAATCCTTCATACGGCGAGTGGCTAGATGGCGCTTATTTCTCGCACTTTCTTGCACCTCGCATTTCTCCCATTTCTTTCTTTCCACTGCAAGAAATCCATGTATACCTGTTCAAAAACTTAGTTTTCATTCAAAAGTCAGTCATCCTGATTTCTTATTGATGATTTTCATTCACAATCCGTCATTTTTGTTCAAATTCATTTCATTTCACTTCATCGGACTTCATTCATATTTCGCCCCATGTAATAAGCATAGGATGAAAAATTAAATGAGTGAAAAATCCTTTCATTCAGACTCATTCATCTGAAATGACGGAATCTTTCACTCATTTTCATTCAAATCACGAGAAATTCATTTTCATTCATTATCACTCACCAGCATAATCACTCAAGTGAATGAAAGTGAACAGGTATGAATCCATGTAGTATCAAACCACCAGCAAGAAACGGAACACTGACTACCAAACTTCAAAATTTCCTTGCCTTACATACATAAATTTCACAATTTTATTTCTATTTCTTTTAAGGACCATCTGCATCGTTGTGATCATGATTCTCCTCGGGGTCTTTGGACAATTAGACGATATTTTTTATCATTATTTTCCCATCACCGTCATTCTCGTGTCTTCCTGGCTGATGACATTTCTCGGCTGCTGGTTCTACATCGCCTTCCTCGCAGGGAGAGGAATCTTCCGAACGCTGTGGCGTCAAGAGGATCCCGTCGAAGTGAAGGAATTGTGGAACTTTATTGGATTTGTGGGTGCCTTCGTCGCCATTAAAGTCGTCCTCGCGGAGATTTTTGTGATCTCGTTATTTAAATAAAATTCGAAATTACGAAAATATTTTCGAAAAAAATTCGAAGTATTTAATATTTATTAGAAAAAACGTCGCTTATGGAAGCTTTTTTTTCAAGCTACACCGGAATTCTGTAACGAGTTGTCAAAAAATCAGGCCAATTTATGAAAATAAAATGCAAATGGAACATTTTTTCAAAAACCTAGACCGGGATTTGTAAAGTTACATATGTCAAAAAATCAAGCCAAAAATTAGGAATCACGTGTCGCTTATCTTTCCGTTGAATGGCTCCTTTGAAGAGAAATATTCAATGCGTATTTATTTACCGAATTTGAGTCGAATAAATTGCGAATTTTGTATTTTACAAATAATTGGTGTATATTTTGAAATCAAAATGTGTAAATTTTTCAATTCTTAGTGAATGTAGAGTCGAATAGATTGCGTGTAATTTACAAATTATTGGTATTTTGGGATCAAAATGTGTGCAAATTTTCAATTCATGTTTATTCAGTGAATTCATAACCCATGCGAATAAATTGCGTAGAACGACGAATTCATAGTCACTAATTTGATAAATAATAGGTATTTTGGGATCAAAATAAAATATTTACAGATTTTCCATCCGTATTTATTTATCGAAATGATAACCTCGCGTCGATAAGGGATAAGTCAAAATCGGTGAATTCTTCGTCCTCCTTTTTAATCCCGGATTGTTCTTCTTGCGGTTTTTTGTTGGGGGCTTCAACGGTTTGGGCGTCGGCTTGTTTCCAGGGTCCGGATCCGATTGGTCCGGCTGAGTCGACGAGGACATCTGGGTTTGTGTTTGGGGGGTAATTGTGATGAATGTGAATTATCGTGGGGGCTGCCTTCTCGGTGGTGAGGGGGGACATTGTTGACGTTATTTTGGGGGCGGGCGTCGTGCTGGTAATTACTGCGGGATGTTGCTGCGGGGGAATAATTATTACTGGGGGAGAACCACCTAGTCCACCGGGGTAATTGTTGGCAAAGTAGGGATTTGACCACCCTCCTGCATAAAGAAAATAAATTAAAATAATGAAAAATTGGTAAAAATTAAAGTTTGGGAAAAAAATGATGGGATAATATGTAGGAATGCCGTTGGAGGATTTTTAAGAAGGAAATTTGACTAGTTTTTACGAAATTGTGTATTTTTTTGCAATTTTGAATTATCATTTCAAACACTGCTTAATTTTGAAGAATGAAAAGCATCAAAAATTGGTACGTCTCAAAATTTAAAGTATTTACAAAAAATAAAGAAGTAAAAATATGTTGGAGAGTTTACGAGGGAAAATTTAGCAATTTTTCACGAAGTTTGTACTTCACGCAATTTGACAAACAAAATTTGCAATTATCATTGCAAACAGTTGAATTTTTTGCAACCACTTTTAAAAAAAACTGCATAAATGAAAGCATATTAATTAAGCATGCAAAGTGCATAATTACCATAAACTCCTTGTCCCCCAAAGTATTGTTGCTGAGGTCGAAAATTCTGACCCCATCCGCCGCCGCCCCCACGATTATGACCTCCACCACCACCTCTGTGATTATTATGACCGTGACCACGACCTCCTCCTCCCCAACCAGCGTTACACACTACTCCAACAGAAAATAAGTAATAAGAACAAAAAACAGGTAAGATTACACGAATCAAAAAACTTTGGGAATTTAGCACCATTTTTGCAGAAAAGAAAGTATGCAAAAATTTCACAGAATTTTCTATAATTATACAAAATTATACACTCTTTAAAAAAATCGTACTCTGATAATGCGTCGTGCTCTAATTTTTAATAATTCTACAAAAATTATAAAAATCTATGAATTATAAAAATCTTCAAATTATAAAAATCAAAAAATCGTATTCGTATAATGCGTCGTGTTCGAATTTTTGTTTAAAAATCTTTAAATTGTAAAAATCAAAAAATCGTTCGCTTATAATACGTCGTGTTTCGTGTGTAGATTTAAATAAACTGACTTTTTACAGCTTCCTTAAATAAAATCAACCTTTTTTTCCAAAAAATGAGTACGTACACATTCTTATGCACCACAACATTTTTATTCCGTACCTTTTTTGTCTTAATACTTATACACATACATTTCTCATCGTCACTACTACAACGTAAAGTACAATCTTATGTATTATAGTTCATTTCACTCTTTTCTTTCATGTAGTATTATCACTCTTTTTTACTCATACGTAAAATATATAACTGGGTTTGTTACCCAGAAATTAGGTAAAAATAAACGGAATCCTAAATATTTCAGTTACAAAACCCATCACCACCAAAAAACCATGTAAAAAATATGACACAAAAAAATGCACTTCGTAAAATCATGCTAAATCACAGCGTTTCAAAAAACTATGACACGATTTTTAGGACCAATATAAATATACTAAAAATATGACACAAAAATGCTCTTTCGAAAAATCACAATAATGTTTCAAAAACAATGACTTGATTGACAATCACACAATTGTAATAATAAAGTAAAACAATCTTTGGTTTGGATTTACAAACATATTTAACTACGTCAAATAAGTAATTATCTGCATTTTGCTTCTCCTGCCTTCCTAATTTGTGCCATAGTTAAACCGCAATATTGGCACAAGTTACCAAAAAGTGAAGTATAAACGCACCTTTAATACATATTTATATACTGAGATTCTCACTTTCCTGAAATTTCTTCTGGGTTTTCAAGTTTACGAATTATTTTCATTTCTTTCAACATAGTCAAGTTTCCTTTCTACAATTACAATTTACGAATAAATAGACCAAAAAGTTAGTTAGTTAAATACTTTTCAAATATTAATGTAGCAAACGTTACGTGTTTTTTTACAAAATTTTTTTGAGTATGACAGTTTCCAATCAGTATTTTAAATTGCTTGCTTGTAAAAATTGGACAAAATACACTCGACCTTTCTTTAACTTTGTGTTATTGTGAATTTGTACAAGCAAAAGTAGACAAGTAAAAAAGCGACGGCAGCGTGTCGATTATAATTAGTGAACAGTGGACACAAATAAGTGCCGAGAAATTGTCAGAGTACGCTTCTCGTCATAATAAGTTATTAATTTTCAAGGGTGGGCGAATACTTTGTGAAGATACAATATTTTGGGTCCCGTTCTTCCCATAGTTTAGATTTCCGGGGCTGTTACACCCACAAAAAGACGAAAATCTACGTGGAGAAGGCAACAATCGTACGAAAATACAGTCTTTGTGAAGAAATTAACTTTCTATCGGGGTCAAAATACTTTATTTTTAAAGAAATTGTGAAAACAATGTATTTTGACCCGATAAAAAGTTAATTTATTGATAAAACCCGTATTTTCGGACGACTGTTGCCTTCTCCACGTGGATTTTTATCATTTTGTAGGTGTAACAGCCCAGAAATCCAAACCTTGGGAAGAACGGAGCTCAAAATACTGGATTTTGTCCACCCCTAAAATTAGCAATTTTAGTTAGATAATTAATTAATTAATTAATCGTAACACTTTGTTATTTATGAACGGTTTTGCTTTGCAATTTGAACAAGAGAGAAGTTTGAAAGTTCAACTTGGACAGATCGAGTATCATCAGAATCATCAGATCAGTAAAAATTTAGTTAATTGTTTCCAGAAATCAGATCGCGTTAGAATCCAGTAGTCGTCACTTTTCTCTGCTGCGACCCCGACGAAGGTCTGCTGCCACTGCTGCTACCATTTCCAGACGAAGAATAGAGAAGCTCCTGCCCCTGTGAGGATGAGGATGGGTTGACCCCAAAAAGGTCACGGGTCACACGTAACCTCCAAATCGCAAGGGGCTGTCTTTTCGACACGACATGACTAGAATGAGACTCGTTACCTATAAAACCAAAATCGACTCGTTATTAATTACATAATTAACGTACGACTCGATAACTCATCGCTAAAATGGTCAAAATCAGCACATATTTGACCATTTATTTCTTCGCTCTGGGAATTTATTTTAAAATTCTGAAAAACAAATTTGTAGTCAGTAAGTTGCGGAATAACGGAGAGTTTCTTAGGCAAGGTTCGATGAGTTCCAATTTCTCTGAGGGCTTTTTAAACTTGCGATCTCATCCTTCAAAAAAGTGTCAAAATCTGGAGTATATATTTTTTTAATTGGCAACTCCCTGCTCTACAAATTTGTCGTGCAGAATTTTAAAACAAATTCCCAGCGTCGAGAGATGATTAAAATTTTGACCATAAGGCGTCAAGTCCTACGTTAAGTAGTATAAATATATCACCTCCAATGAGTAGCATATAGTTCGGCGTGGAAACTTGGTAATAATACGGTGCTTCTACTTTCGCCTGTTCCACTTTCTCGGCCACAGGAATTTCCCCGTTTGCGCCACCACCCGAAATCGTGTCCAACTCGTACGCTTCAACAACTTGGAAGGCAGGATTGGTATGAAACGTGTTGGAGGAGCCGTGATAGTTGGGATTCTCGTAACCATTGTGACCTCCTGCTCCGCCTAAATCAAATTGGCACATTAACAGAAATATGCAATTTGTCAGACATTAAAATTTGTGACAAATGTCAAATATGTCAAGTTCAAATTGTCATAAGCTGTCAATTTGTGCGTCATATAAGTCAAATTGTTGATTTGTGCGTCATAAATTTCCAAGTAGTTCGACATATTCGTCATAAATGTTGGTCACATTGGAATTGTGATAAATTGGACGGTCAAATTGATAAATATGGTAAATATATATGGCAAATATGACGGCCAAATTGGACATTTATGACATATATCTGCTTGATATGGACAAGCTCCATCCTAACCTCCACCCCCACCCGGCCTCTGCTGCTGCTGCAAATTAATCCCATGCTCCATACTCGAATAGTCGGACGTGCATTCTCTCGCGAGTATAAAATGCGACGAGGAAGATGTCGAGGGGGGTTCCACGATGTCGGCGAAACGTACAGAAGCCGATTTCTTGACCGAGTTCTTTTTCAGATTTAATTGTAAACAAGTCGCGGATTCGGATCGTCGTGTCGTCGAAGGGCGCGACTCGACGGAGGCGGATGAGTAGGAATTGAAGGAGGAATCGGGAGGAACGATTGAGTCGAAGGTGAGTGCTTCCCCTTCTTCTTCGGGGAGAGACTCCGGCGTGTTTCCGGTCGTCGTGGGGGGCGAGTTGGTTGAAGAAGGGGGAGAATGTGAAGATTGTGAAGGTTGGACTGGGTAGAAATTGGTTTCATCACCGCCCAGGTCGATGAGAGAAACGGTCGTGGGTGGGAGTGATGAGGATTCTTGCTCCTGGGAAAATATACATAAATTATTAATTCAGATAAGCAGTGCTTCATTTCTTGCGGGTTTGGTAAGTACATTTCTTGCACTGCAAAGCAAGCAACGCAATAAATGCGAGGTGCATGAAACTGGGAGAAAGTGCAAGAAATATGCGCCATCTGGTCACACGCCGTATGAAATATAGCGGCGGGACAGTTTCTTACGCCTTCCATTTCTTGGGGTCAAACCAGCTCTAAAAAACACTTTCTTCCCGATTTCTTGCAAATTGCTACTCGCACCCGAAAGGGAAGTGAGGCTTATCGAACCGTTTAATTTTTTTACCTCAATCTTTCTTAATCCAGGCAACTCTAATTTCGCATCGTTTCCATTTTGGCACTGGTTATTCGCTAATTTTTGTTGGGCATGACTTTTGTTGCTGAGTGGAGGTCGTGGGCTCGCCTCCTCTTCCGATAAGCAGACAGAATTCGTCTCCGATAAGGCTTGATAGTCTCCATTGTTGTAAGCGAATCTCGCAAAGTCAGAGAACAAGGAGGAGGAACGATTCTTCTTTTCATCCCCGGACGAGGAGGACGATCCGTTCGGCACTGCGGAGGAGGAGGAAGGGACCTTAAGTTGCTGTTGGTGGTGAATTACTTCTTCGTCGTCATCCCCTTCATCGTCATCTTCTGGGTGGGCGAGCATCGATTCGTCATAGTCCCACCAGTATTTATTCTCTTCTGAGGGGAAGAGAGAGGAATTAGCGTAGGGCTCGATGGCTCATCGCCAAAATGGTCAAAATTCGCACATTTTTAATCATTTCTCTGCTTTGGGAATTTATTTTAAAATTCTGGACGACAAAGTGTAGTTAGTGAGTTGATTAATAGAATGTCAACGAGTTTTTTTTAAGCAGTTTCGACGAGTTCCAATTTTTCCGAATCGTTTCTCGGCTCTGGAAATTTATTTCAAAATTCTGATCGAACAAATTTGTATTCAGTGCGTTAGTTGATGGAACGGTGACGAGTTTTTGAAGCCAGTTTCAATTTTTCTGAAGGCTTCTTAAAAGCGAGATCTCTTCCTTAAAAAAGGGTCAAAATCTGGAGTGTATATTTTTAAAAAAAACTGCGAACGAAATTCTCTACAAATTAGTCGCTCAGAATTTTTTAATAAATTCCCAGAGCCGAGAAATGATTAAAAATGTGCTGATTTTGACGATTTTGGGGTCCTAGTACTTTAATCATAAATTTTAATTCCAATTAAAATTAAGAATTCGAATGAATTAACAAACCCGTCGAACCCGGAGACGTTTGTGAATTAGCCTGATTTTCATTCGGAGTTCCTTGCACTCTTTTATAAACGATGGGAAGAATTGTACCCCACGGCCAAACTCGGGGGCACGGTCGGCACCCATTTAAAACAATTCGCTCCCAGGTTTCTGCCAAGAAATCGAACCTCCAAAATTCATCGACCGCCTTTCCTCCCCGTTCTCCAGCCAAAATTAGGAGTGAATCCAGCGCCACCTGAATTAATTAATTCAATTAATTAACTAATTGTCAATTAATTAGTAAAATTCTGCCCTTCTCTCTCACCAATCCGACATGTCCATGCAACGGTCCTGGCCCATATTTTGTCTTAATTTGCGTCCAGAGTCTCGTTTTTAGATCAAACCTCCACAAATCTCCGAGCTCTAACAAGTCCTGCATCCCACCGTGAATGTAGAGGGAGGAATTATGCAGGGCGGCGATATGGGAGTGTCGCGGACAAGGAAAGTACGACGAGGAGGAGGTAAATCCACCCGAAAAACTGAAATACCACGGTTTCGCGTTCTTCTTGTGAAGGTCGTGAGATGAGAATAAGTGCCAAGACTCGGTTTCTGTTGTAATTTACAAAAAACATGAAAAAATATCGACGTTAACGTAGGTCTCGATAACTTATCGTCAAAAGCAGCACATTTCTAATCATTTCTCGCCCCTGGGAATTTATTTTAAAATTGTGGACGACAAATTTGTAGAGCAGGTCGTTGTCAATTTTTAGAAATATACACCCCAGGTTCTGACCTTTTTTGAAGGAGGAGATCTCAATTTTAAAAAGCCTTCAGAAAAACTGGAACTTGTCGAAACTGGCTCAAAAAACTCGACGCCATTCCATTAATCAACTCACTCGTCGTCCAGAATTTTACATAAGTTCCCAGAGGCGAGAAATGAATAAAAATGTGCTGATTTTGGTGATAAGTCAAAATCATCGAGTCTCCTACGTCAAAAATTTTTACAAAGTTTGTGTGAAACTCACCGAAATGAAATGCCCATAAATCTCCTAACGATCCCTTCAAATCTCTATATCCGCCATAGACAAGCATATAATTGTTCCAAACCGTGGCAGTGTGACCTCTCCGCCCAACCGGCGTTTTGGTCAAGGCTTGTCGCGATACTTCCGGACTTTTCAGCATCATTTGTTTCTTCTTGAGACGATTTCTAGTCATAAAATCGTTCCAGAATTATTAATTACGTCCAAAATTATCAAATATTTATCGGTTACTGACTCTGCCTCCCCGCTATTGTTCGGGGTGCACCCCCACCTCCTCCAAGAACCCGATTCGACCCCGTAGATCCACAAGGGACTCAAATCTTCGCCATAACTAAGACTAATCTCTCCCCCAAAGATGTAAATCTTGCTGGAATAATACACCATGGAATGTTCTTGTAAATGTGGAGGCCATTCTCCACCGTTCTTGTCCAAGGGACGGATTTCTTCCCATTTTCCCAGCTTCAAATCAAGCCTAGAACAAACCAAAAGTAAACAATTAACTACTTGTTTATGTCCAAAGCTAATCAACTAATTATCACGTTGGGGAAAATACTTTATCAAAATGCAGTATTTTGAGCTTTGTTCTTCCCAGGATTTGGATTTCAAAGGGTGTTACACCCACAAAATGACGAGAATCTATGTGGGTAAGGTAACAGTCGTACGAAAATACAGGTTTTGTGAACAAATTAACTTCTTATCGCTGTCAAAATACATTGTTTTCACGATTTTTTAAAATACTGAATTTTGAACCAAATGAAAAGTTAACTTCTTCAAAAACCCTGTTTTTTCTAACAACTTTTCCCTTCTCCACTTAAATTATCCTCTTTTTGTGGGTGTAACACCCCCGGAAATCCTCACCCCGGAACACAGCTCAAAATTCCGTATTTTTATTTTTACAAATTCCTTACTTCCAAAAATCCTTCAGCGGAAAAGTTCCCGATCGTCCCCCAAAAATGTAGAGGTCATAATTCGAATTAGCCACCGTCGCGGTAGGGACAAGGACACCGCAATGTTTGTACCGAGAAGGGGGGTGGTTACCCAGTTCGGGTTCACCGTCCTCACCCACGCCCCCCTTCGTCAGTATTATGTTGGACCACATCCTTGCTTATCTTAATTATTATTCCTTCAAGATAAGTTATCTTAGATAACCACCAATTCACAATTCACCAATATTTCTCATAATTTCGTTGTTCCTGCTGCACTTTGAAGCCGGAAGTGTAAAAAGTACGAATTTTTAATATCCTTGCACATCAAATATAGATTGTAATGGCTTTTTACATCAGGCTTGGACCAAGTCAATTAATCAAGTAAATTAACATTATAATCACTAATTAATTATCCTCAAACTGCACTTTACAAAAATGTAAATAAAAACAAAGCAGAAACACATATATTATTTTACAGAATCAACTTCCTCGAACCAACTGTGTGCCTCGATTAAACACGATGACACGAAAAACTCGATGCAAAAATTCAGTCTCAAAATACACACGCAATCAACGAATGACGAATACCTTGACTATAATTAAGTTAATTACGTTACGAGTTATGTTATCATCGTTATTTATCTAAATAAGCGGTGTTTCTCTCGTTTATTTTCACCACCACCGAACCGACCAAAGTTGCTTTCACTTCCTTCCTTTCTCTCTCTCCCACCAATAAATAAACGTGAGGGAAAGCATTCTATTCTATTTCATTGTGTTTTTCACCAGAACCACCACCACCAAAAATCAATAAGATTCTCATTCCTTACATATAGCAGAGAGGATCTTGTCATTTCTCATCATGTTGGTCTCTTTACTCGGGTTGAAAATAGCATCAAAAAGGACGGCGGAACAAAATCCAATGTCCCTGAGAAGAGATCTTGTTCCGTAATAGTGTCATCCATTATGGAGAACATGTTTGGATGGAATATCAGCTTTTCTTCCTATAAAGTCGGTGTTTATTATAGAATTTGATTTTGCGCACATCTCCAACAACCTTTTTCCCCTCGGTCGGAGTACATATTTGCATCATGGAAAATGCCAAGTTTCACGAAAACTTGGTTATATATTGATGTGGATGTGACATTTATCATCACAATAAAACGAGGACATTAACATTCCTCCGACACAAAAGAAGTAATAATGTTGTGTGCAAATTACATAGTTCGGGGGCTTTGTTGTCGCATGCAGGAAAATTTGTATGTACGAAAGTAAAGTTGAAAGTTGTTGAGGCTTAACCAGCAGTTTTGCATGGTATTTTCATGGAATGAATACTGTATAAAAGTGTACATATGGCGAATACATACAAATGTACGGAAATATGTGGGTGGGTATGAAATATGGGCCAAATGTAAATTATTTAACGCTGAAGTTTTTTTATCCAGTCAAGTTTTTGTAGCTACTTTTTTGATCCTCGAAATATTGAAAATATGTACGAAAGTAAAGTTGTTGAGCTTTGTGGATAACAACTTACTTAAACAAGCCACTTGCAATCCACTTTTTCTTCCTTAAATTATTGAGAAAAGTTTTTGGAGGTATGTATTTTTGAAGAAAAAAAAATATTTACATATTTTTGAAATAACAGGTGGATGAAATATTTACAAAATATGGATAAAAGCTAGCATTATTGATAAATCTAAATGTTTCATAATTTTTCTAGCGATCTGAGAAAGTTTAACAGTTAAATATGTCAAGTTAAAAAGTCAAACATAAATAAATAAATAAATAACTTTTACAAGCAATGTTATTATTCAGATTCTAGTCATCACTTTTAGAAAAATGTAAGGTTTGCAATTTGCAATTTGCAATTTGCAAATTCAATGTTTACAACTTTGTTAATTCTTTAATGCTGAAATACCTTTTAAACTCGGAAATTCAAATCTAATCAATTTTGAAATAGTGAGAAAATTATATATCTAGGTATATATTTTTGGAAAAAATACCCAGACTATTTCCATACGTTTGAAATAATAGCTGAAATATTTACAAAATATGGATAAAAGCTATAAAAAATTATTGAGAAATATGTAGCCATTTTTTAGAAATTTTAACAATTTAGGCATGCTAATTAAAAAGTCTAAAATTAATTAATAACCATTTTACGCAATGTTATTAATAATAATAACTTATTATTCAGATTTTCGGGGAAAATATTTGTATTTACAAGGTTTATAACTTATATATATATTCTGATTGCAGATGTTAGATATTATCTAACTATTTTTTTTAAATGACCAACTCTAAAACTATTTGCATGAGGCATTCTTACTAACCAAAAATATCAAAATCGTGTAAAACTGGTGGATACTATTTACGTGCAATTAATCTGCGGATAAATACTTGCACAACACAAAAATTAAGAAACTTACAATGGTGAATGGAAATCTCCCAGCGTATGCTCTCCAATTTTAAGCAAATTAGTCTCAATCAATCACAAATGATAAATTAGTGTCAATCGATGGCAAATTTAATTGGGATGAAATTTGCGAAAGACACGATCTCCCAATAGGCACGTTTGGGAGAGATCATTGCATCCAAGGAGGAGAAGATGCGCCCAAAAGTCGACAAATTTGACACTTTCCAAATTTACTCCTGGTATGCAAATATCCCTGCCAAACGTGACTATTGGGAAATCGTGTCTTTCGCAAATTTCATCCCAATTAAATTTGCCATCGATACACATTAATTTGCTCAAAATCGGAGAGCATACACTGGAAGATCTCCATTGCAACTTGTTGTTTTGCTTGTCGTCGAATGTTGATCATTTTTTTAACGCAGCACAAACCACTCAATGATAAATGCGATAACAAGTCATGCCGCTGTGGCCTCGATTAATAATCCGATGAATTGAATTACATAGATTAACAAAACATGAGCGGATGTACATTAGTGCAGCAGAGTCAAGTGTGTTAAATATTATAATTGGAGATGACTCATTTAATCGGGATGATGTTTTTATTAATTTAATATTCAATTAAATTCCTGGAATTATTAAAATTCTGATAAAAATTCATTCAAGACAGTGAAACAATTATTTATTAGGTAAATATGTAATTACAAAAGATGTAATTAATTTACAAGTAAATAGTGCAAAAAAGAGTAATTTGCATATGTAAATGTTAACCATAAAAATATTTAATCGGGTCGATGATTTTTACTGATTTAATTTAATTATTGAGATTTCTGAAATTCTGGAAAAAGATTCATAACGATCAAATAGTTAGAGTTTTGTATGCAATTTCAAAAGGTGGAATTTACGAGAAAATAGTGTAAAAAAATGTAAATGTTAAACATCAAAGTATTTAATCGGGTCGATGATTTTTATCAATTTAACATTAAATTACTGGAATTACTCAAATTCTGAAAAAAATTCGGGACGATGACAGAATTAGAGTGGTGAGAGGTGTATAAAGTATACACCTCTTTATTTTTACACTATTTGCTTATAAATTATACAGTATAATTTATAAGCAAATAGTGTAAAAAATGAGTAAATTTACATAATATGTAAATTTACTCATATTATGTAAATGTTCCCCATTAAAATTTGATTGATTTACTAATACATTTAATAATACACATTTTGACAGATTGATGACAGACAATAATTAATAATGAGGTTAATAATTTTGTGGTAAACATGTAAGTAACGTCCAATTCATTCATTCATATTTAGCCAAAGGCATAATATTTACTGTATGGAATTTGTATCAACTTTTCCATAAATATGTAAATCAGTTACTAAATCCTTAGTCCAGCCAAAATGTGGAATGTGTAAACTTGACTTTTATAAAGTTAAATCAATCAAGGTAAAAAATATATGGGTAAAAATATCTGTAAAATTCTGTAAAATTTGGTAATGAAAAATTTTATCAAGTTCATTATCATAAAAAAATATATTCCTTTGCTCAGAAAGCGTTTTAATTATCAATCTCACTTCAAAATTTTCAATTATCGATCTCAATTACAAATTTTAATTGTCAATCTGCATCCAAGTTTTGATTACCTAAAATCAAAATACCGATTATCAAAATCTCATTTATTTATTTTTTGGCGTTTTACACTGATTTTTTTTTACATCTGGTTATTTTACTGTTTTAAAAAGTACAAAAAAATTATTGGTTTCCTGAAAAATATTTACCTTCGGTTCATTTTCCACCACCGGGGAACCAAACAGGACAATCAAATTATGTACATTCGCTGCTTTTCGTACAAAACACTTGATGCGAAGAGCAAACGAAACCGTAATTGAATTACGGAAATGTCACACGGGTTGCGTGCCTGCTATTTTCAGCATCAATAATTAATGTCCTTCCTCTCCCGGAGTATCTGTACTCATGTACAAAACACAGAACATCGGAAAAGCATGACGGTCCAAATAAAATAGGAGAAAGTGAAGTGAAATGCAATCTAATTAGTGTGCTATTTGTCGTCCTAAAAAGAGCTAAAATGCGCAATAATCAGGTAACAGGTTGGCAAAAAAATACTAAATAATCGATCTTCTCCTCTTCTTCTTCCCATTTATCTTATAGCACGAAAAACAACCATACAATCTACCAGGAACACATTTTAAATTATTTACTATAAAAAAGTCACGTGTTAGTCACCTGAGTCATTATATTAATTAAAAACAGTGAAAGGATGACCACCGGAAGTAAAATAGGAGAAAGTCGGACAAAATACCAGGAACGGAACCTATATATATTTTTAAATATTTTTATTATAAATGAAAAAAGTCACGTGTTAGTCACGTGTAGATTGAGTCCCATTTTACTGATTACAAACAGTGAAAGGATGACCACCGGAAGTAAAACGGGATAAAAGTCGTGAAATGCAATCTAATTATAGTGTTACACATTCATCCCACAACACACGCTAACAGGTTGCCAGCCCCCAAAAAAAAACAATCGATCGATCTCCTCTCCTTTTTCTTCTTCCTAATTTATGTATTTATTATTTAATTTGGTACAAGAAACCACACTTATTTTACGAACAGGGAATTTTTTTCTATAAAAAAAAAATCACGTAAAAGGTATCAACTTAATTTTACTGATTTAAGTAGTACACGTCACGAATTATGTAAAAAGGTGTGAATTTCACATTTATTTTTTCATACAAAGTCAGGTTTTTTTTGTAGGGATACAAAATACATAGATAAAATTATCAAAATTCTAAATTTTTGATTGTCTCGTTATTACACGTTTCACAATTTTGATACATACACAGAAAGCTCAAGACGTTAATTTTTTCCTCACTTTTGCAAAATATAACTGAAATTTGATTGATGATAGCAGCTCTTTTTTGTGTTTTTTTTCACAATTTTTCATTCTTCTCCTCGATATCCAGTCCAATTCAGTCGTATTCATTTATCTGTTTAGGCAGGCTTCATTGAATTTGCAGTCCAGGCAGGAATTTAGTAAATTATTATGGAACAAGTTATGTGATGTAATTTAGTAGTGATGAGTTTTTGTAGGTGGGAAGGAAAAAATAGGCACGATGTGATGATGGCAGCTGAAATAAGAAAAATAAAACTCGTTAGTAAATCATATAATTATTTAACTACTTTCACATTTAACTAATTGTTCATTGTTTCGGGTGCAGGTAAGTAACCACTTGCAAGAAATAACTGCAAGAAAGCGGTTTCTTGCAGGTATTTTGACCTGCAAGAAATGCACGGCGCCAGAAACGACGCCCTGACGCTATTCTTCATACGGTGCGCCGCTAAATGACGCTTATTTCTCGCACTTTCTTGCACCTCGCATTTCTTGCACTTTATTCCTTTCCAGTTCAAAAAAATGTAGCAAACCCACAAGAAACGAATCACTTGGCAGAAATAACGGCAAGAAAGTGGTTTCTCGCAGATATTTTGCCCCGCAAGAAATTCAAGGTGCAAGAAACGACGTTCCTCCACTATTTTTCATACCGCTCGTCGCTTGATGACCAATATTTCTTGCAGTTTCTTACACCTCGCATTTCCTGCACTTTCTCGCTTTCCAGTCCAAAAAATATGTAGCAACCCCACAAGAAACGAATCACTTGGAAGAAATAACGACAAGAAAGTGGTTTCCTGAAAATATTTTGACTTTTTTCTGGTATTTAGACCTACAAAAAATGCACCGCACAAGAAACTCCTTCCCACCACCGCCATACGGCGTGTGGCTAGATGACCCACATTATTTCCTCCACTTTCTTTCCTTCCAACCCCCCCAAAATATATAGCAACCCCACAAAAAACAAGACCCTCCAAAAAATTCCAGACATTACAAAATTACCTCTCTCCACAACCTCCACTCCCTCCTCAATACTTCAAAATGATGTAGCAAGCATGAATAATTCCGGGAATGTAGCCCAACAGCGTGAGAAGGATGTTAATCGCCAAATCCTTTCCGCACCCCTTCTCCGCCAAGACGCCCAACGGAGGGAGGATCACGGCCAGGATGAATTTGCAAATGTCGGTACAAGTCAGGGCCATTTTTGCGAATAAATTTGCAACTTACTTAACTGATTGTCAGGTTGGTTGGATAGAAATCGACTGAATGTGAGGATTGGAAAGGGAGAGATTATGTATTTAAATACGGTTGGAATTGTGCTGGGTGATGGTTCTTGAATGTTGTATGTCTCGTAAAAAAAGCAAACACCGTCTGCCTCATCATTTTCTATGCTATGGAGTAATACTTAACTATGGTAACTATTTACACGTAGATCTAGGCATATAAGCCACCGCTATGTAGCTGACTAACCAACTTTTTTTATGCGACGGTGATGCATCCCTTTTTCGCCCGAATTAGGCCTTATGTAGACGTCATAGTTGTAGGTCTGTCCGTATGTCGATTACGCTTCCAAAACTTATCCAAATCAGGGCTTTTTGTACGCGTCATAATGGTCACTAACTTTTTTTATGTGGTATTTAGTGATGCATCCCTTTAGTCCGAATCAGGGCTTATGTACACGTCATGGTTTTATGTCTGTCTGTCTATCCATTATGTTCGTAAAGCTTATCCAAGTAAGGGCCTATCAACTTGTCAAAGTTGTCTGTCTGTGTATAGATCACACTTGTAAAATTTATTCAAGTCAGTGCTTATATACCCGTCATGGTTGTCTGTCTGTCTGTCTGTGTATCGATTAAGCTCGTAAAACTTCAAAATTTTGTAAACTTGTAGAATATGCAAAATTACGAATCAATTTCGCACATATGCAAAATCTGTAGAAAATTAGTAAAAATTGCAGTAGTCGTATCAGGCCAACCTCAATTATTAGTAACAATCTGACTCGGGCTACATATGTAAGACTGCATTCTGCATTTTTTGTGGGGGGGATCCAACCGTCATGCAGCACATTTCGAAGCGGCGAACACTGCCTAACTTTCGATCGGATGATGACGCCATGCATGGACTGGAAGCTGTATTACATAATCTGGATTGCACTGATTTTTTACGTGTAACGTGTAAATACATACACAGATATTTACGAAAGGTTGGCCCTAGGCTTGTGGAGAGTGAGTTGAGTGGAAACGGATGGATGACATGTTACGGTTGATGGTTTGGTTAGTTAGTGGTGGGTTGGATAAGCCGGCTTGGATGTTAATGTAGATTAGATTACGTGTGTACATACGTACAATTTGGAACAGTCACCCGAAACATATTTCTTAATTATAAATAACAAATCAGTCATTTTTTTAAAGAATGACTAAGATGACTAATGAGAAAAAATGACTATTTAGCATGGTCATGGACTGAATAATGATACAATTTTTGGTAAATTATGTAGTTACCACTCAAATTTGGTAATTTGTTCGGGATACAAATTGATTTAGGATACAAATTTTCATATAATGCAATTTTGTTCCAAGTTTTCGAAGAAGTTAATAATTTGATTATTTAAGTATGGCAAAGGTTTAGAAAGATATTTGTATAATGAGAAAATTAGTCAAAAATGGAAATATGCATACACGTGCAAAATCTTACATTAAAATTTTAAATATATAATTAAAGTAGATAGATTACAAAAAAACAAATCCTCGACGAAATAAAATTTCGTAAAATTCCAGATTATTTTTAAACTCGTCTTTTTAATTGAGTAACAATTTTTGAGTGAAATGTATTCCAACAATATAGTACATATGTTATATCTGATAATTTACTAAAATTTTTTAACTTTGATAAAAAAATTGATCGGTGTAATTGCTACTCAAAAATGTGGAATGTTTGCATTTTACGTGCTTAATTTTGGATATTGCACATGTTTAATTATGAATTATTAACGCAATTATTTATCCGATCGGAAATACGCATAACGAAATAAATTTGCGGTTACAGTGACCACGAGCGATTTGATTAATCTCGTGCGCAATTTTATGACCAGCATGAATGTGGTACACATAAAAACCGTGTATGTGCGAATTTGGGATTTTTGCAACACACTAAAATTACCTACCTCGTCCAGAGAGTAGGTTACTAATGTTTGCAAATATGTTTGCAAATATGTGTGCAAATCTGTTCAACACAAGCCCAAGGACGTACTAAAAGAGCCAGTTTTACTTACAGACCTGCTTAAAATTTCATGAACAAAAAATATCCTCTGGAACTTGTTATTTTGCACTTTCCATTTCTCTCTACTTGACTCGTTAGGTCATTAATTTTGGCAAATTTATGCTGATTCTGACATTTAGTTTCGACTCGTCTTCTCTTTATGGGGGTACAATTATGGCAGGTATGCAGTAATAATCCATTAAACAACTCGATGCCTATTCGAGAGTGGAATCATGGACAAAGGAAAATTGCAAAATATGTAAATCCTTCTGGACCAGACTGGAATGTTATCATGGATAAATTTCTACAAGTAAGTCGTTCTATGCATGCAGAATATGCAGTGGCCGCGGAAGCTGTGGGGACATCGGGGGACGTTAACATTGCAGGATGGGGGAGGGAGGGGTTTGTATAAGATGGGGAGATGATGCAGATATCGAACAACCGTGGGGACATTGTCCCTCTGTCCCCACACACCCTTCCGCGGCCACTGGATCAGTTTTCTACTTATGCATACTTTTTATTAAGTAATGCACAAACCAAACCACACAATTAAGATGTATATACCAAGCAAAGTTAAATGTTAAATCATCCCTAAAGTTAAATCACATAATATATTCGCACAACTACTTATGAATATTTGCATTCGCAAATTTCAAGGGAATCCAGTTCCAGCATGTCAAAATCAAAATAAATGAAACTGCGATTCCTTCTATCGTAGAAATAATGCTGTTAAATTTTTTATCTTTAATTCAACCTAAATATTTTCCAACTGCCCGATGAAATCTACAGTTTTAATAATAAATACAAATATTTAATTTCTTCAATCGACGCGAAACTTGTTCTTTTCTATAAAATTTTTTTTTATGTATTTTTAATATTTTATTGAAATTAAAATCTATTCTATTCAATCCAGTAATTTCTATTTTCCTCAAATTTAATATTGTCCTAGATTTGAACATCTGACCTGTAATTTTATTAATATTGACAATATTTCATTCCTACGACCGGCATTTTTCCAAATTTTCACAATAAAAATCATAATTCAATTAGTAATTTTTATTTTCCTAGATTTGAATATTACTCTTAAATAACGCATAACACGAAATTCATGGCATGCAGATCGTAACTATTTAATTAGGTAATTATAAGTATACTTTTCCCACTGGGAATCTACGCATCTACAACTTTATTAATACTTCAAAAATATTGAATTTCAACAATCGGCGTAAAAGTTTATTTTATTTTTAAAATTTTCGCTTACTTGTTTTAAATTTCTTCACTAAAAATAATAATTAAAATTAAATCATGATTCAATCAATATTTTCTATTTTCCTCAAGTTAAATATTTTCCTGGATTTAAATACTACTTTATCTGACCTGCAATTTTATGAATGTTTAAAATATCTCATTCCTACGAACGACATTTTTCGACACTTGGAATTAAGTAATTAACCTCCGATTTAATTACTGTTCCAAAAATATTTAATTCTTACCATCATCGTGAAATTTATTCTTTATGTCAAAATTTTCAAATATTTTCACATTTTGAAAATTAAAGCTATGTAAATAATAGATTAGATCCAGTAATTTCTACTTTCCTAAAGTTAAATATTTTCCTAGATTTAAATTCTGCTTGGAATTTTATTAATATTGAAAATATTTCATTCCTGCAAACAATATTTTTCCAAAATTTGCAAAATAAAAATAATTATTCAATTAAAAATGTTCATTTTTTCAAAATTATATTTTCCGAGATTTTGAATATTAATATAAAATGCATAGTACAAAATTCATACTATTCAAATTAGGTATAGTCAATTACATTTTCCTTCAAGATTTACAACACCTGCGATTTTATTAATACGCAAAAAGTATTAAATTTCTAACATCGGTGGGAAAGTTTTTTTTCTTCAAAATTTTCACCAACTTATTTTTAATTTCTTTACTAAGAAATGCAATCAAGATTGCATCAATAATTTCAATTTTTCTCAAGTTAAATATTTTTCTAGATTTGAATATTCCTTAAATAATGCATAGTACAAAATTCATACTATGAAAATCGTAACTAATTGTAAATAAGTACCTTTTTAGATATTCCGAAGCTATTTAACCTGTGATTTTATTGATACTCCAAAAAAAATTGAATTCCTATAATCGTCGTGAAAGTTTTTTTAAAATATTTTATATTTCTTAATTTAATACTTATTTATTTTAAATTTCTTAATTAAAAATAATAATGAAAGTAAAAATCTTGTAAATTTATTTGTGTATTTTTCAAACTTTATTGTCAAATATTATTTATTAAACTTCTCCAATCACGCACGACGCAATTTGAAAATTCGTATCTGAAAATTCTATAATTATATTTTCAAAATATTTCTGAACCTACAATCGGCGTGAAACTTGTTCTTTTTTTCAAAATTTTTTCATTTATTTTGAATTCCTTCATTAAAAATATTAATTTAAAAAAGTTCATGATTCAATTAATTATTTCGATTTTCCTCAAGTTTAATATTTTCCTAGATTTTAATATTCCTTAAATAACGTATAGTACGAAATTCTTATGCAAATTGCGTATATTTTAAAACCAAGATTTTTACGACCTTAGATTTAATTAATATTCCAAAAATATTGAATTCTTACAACCGGCGTGAAAGTTTGATTTTCAAAATTTTTACTAACTTATTTTAAATTTCTTCACTAAAATTAATAATACAAATACAAATTATGAATTTAAATTTATTAACGTATTTTTCAAACTTTGTGATCCAACATTATTTGTTAACCTTCTCAAATTACGCATTACATATGTCTTTCAAGCAGTTGATCTAAAATTTCAATAATCAAGTTTTCAAAAAATTTGTAAACCTATCATCGGCGTGAAACTTGTTATTATTTCAAAATTTTCACTTATTCCTTCATTAATACAAATATTAACTAAAATGAAAACCAAAAATTTCGAATTTATACGAATTGCGATTTTATTAATATTTCAAAAATAAAATATTGAATTCTTCCAACCGGCATGAAAGTTTATTTTATTTTATCCGATTTATTGTAAATTCCTCCAGTAAAAATAATAATTAAGGTAAAAATCCTGCATATAAA